TCCAAGGCATATTTATCTTAATTTTTAAGGAAGCAAATGGGAGTAACAAAAAGTCACCCTTCTCACTGAAGAAAGATTTAAGAGTTTGTTATTTATAAAATGGAATAAGGGAAAGAACTAATGTCTAGCTTCAGGGAGTTATCTAGAGCATGCAGGGGGAATGCTCACTGAACACTGAAGTAAAAGCACGAGGCCAGCAGAGCTGTTGAAGGCTTCAGTACTGAGTGACACACAAGTGAGCTGTACTGATAATTCCAGGCTGTGTGTGCAGCAACCTTAGTGATTAGGCTGCTGCCTGCATGTTTGCCTGTACTCACTAGCCAGATCCTTTATGGAGCACTAAGAGTATTTTCTGTCAGCACACCCACCGATATATGTGACCTAGGTCTGAGAGATGTTGTTGTATGAATACATAGGAAGGCTGGTGATGAAACAGAGCTGCTCCTGGGACAGGACACGTGTCCCAACACAGTTTATAAAGCTGGCTGTAATTGCACAGGATTAAATGCATGTCTCAAAGCATGCTCTTGTATAATGAGGTGGACAGGGAATTGTTTCTCCAGCTTTCCACAACAAGGGTAGATTCTTTCTCTTTTCCTGCTTTGGGAGATAGGACTTTGAACTTAAAGGTACTGGAAATTGTAGCAGAGAAAATCCAGAAGTATTAGCTGGCAAACGTGATTGTTTTACTAATAATGCAGCTCTTCTACAAAAAAAAGCCACCATTCAAGTCTGCAAGCCTGGAGCAAACTTTCAGGGTAAAAATATAGCATTTTGATTAAATCTGTTTGGCTCTAGAGAGGTATCTCCTAAATGATTATTACAGAAAAGTCAAATCAGAGCTGAAAAGTAAAGGGTAACTTTTACAATTAGGTCAACTTTTATTTTTGAACTTGTTTCATTCAAATGTTTCTTTATGGAAGGGAGTTAACAAAGTAATTGAAATTCAAAATGCTTTTGAGACTCTTTTCTCTGTTGTCCTTTTTCCTCTGCTTTTTGCAGAGTCTCTCAGGAGCATCCAGGCTAAACTATGACTTATTATTTTTGAGAAATATTTTATTTTTGGGTTGTTGGGTTTATTTAAGCAGGGAGAAGGTGAGGACAGAAAGCTACACTTAATGGGACATTAAGAGACATTTAGCACAACACATGTAACGTTTTTTGTGGAACCACAAGAAAGATTGATATATATTTATGTGAATCAAGCAAATTAAAAGGGAATCAGGTCAAGTGTGCTAGTTGTTTACGGCACAGCTCAAGCAAAAGTGTAGCAAGCAAGAAGCTGAATGAAGTGAGAGACTGCTGCTACTTCGGAATCAATCCTTGAGGAGCAAACTGCCCGTATTGTATATAACATTTCTGTGATGCATCTAACCTTGCTAAAGATGGTAGCTGTCAGTGTTCTTAAAAAACAAAAACAACAGAAAAAATCATCCTCAAACCCTAATGATTTTTAAAATAGTATGACAAGTCCTCTTTGATAGATTTCCAGTACAGATAGTGACATTTTCCACAGCATAGTAAGTGTTCTGGCCTAAGTACTCCTTTCCTCTACAAATCTCATGGATTAATTACCTTGAAAAGATGATACGTGAAATATTGATTTTTGGCTTGAACATTGCTTACATATATTACAGCACTTATTTGCTAAATGGAACGTTTTCTAGGAAGGCATTCACATGATGCCAAGAACTCATGTTTCAGCTTTGCTTGCTTGTCCTTCCTCTTAGTGCAGAGTTAGTATCTTACTATAACCCAACTGTGTAGCCTTGTGTTGGAAAAAATTCCTGGATTGTTATAAAATTATTATGATGGGAAACACTAGCCTAAGGCTATAGGTGGAAGAGACGAAACTCCCACATCAACTGATATAACGACATAAAATTGCATTTACAGCTCTGCTCTTACGGATTGTTAATACTCACTTGCTCTGAGTGTAAGGGAGCCTAGCAGATATATTTACTATTTCTAAGCCTTTTTTTTCTAAAATATCTTTAGTTGGCTCACATGATGATCTGCCACAGTGAAATTTCTAATCCTTCTACCAGCCACAAGAGTGACATCTGATGTTCTTTATGACCTTTCCTTTGGGTTTTTCAGACCCAGGCTCTGCTGAGGATCTTTGCAAAATACAGCAGATTCTCCTTTTTGGTATTATATGACGTCTGGTACTAGTGACTTAAAAATCCATGAGCTATTCTCGAATCTCCTCTTACTCACCTTGTAAAAGTGAATTAGGCTTTTCTCTATTCCCTGGTGTACTGCTACCAATGAGACTTTCTGTAGTGCAAGACAATCTGATGAGTGAAGGACATGCGTGACCAGAAGACTTCAGTTTCTATTTTCTCAGTGAGGAGGAACTTCTGTCACTCAAATTTTGAACCTGATGAGCTTGTTCTTTTTACTGTGTGAATCATATTCTGAACACTTGCTTAACAAAACTTGACATTTTTTTTTCTGTTAAGGTGCATCGTTAATCACCTTTCCTTCTCCTCCTTTAGGCATTTTGCTAATAGTGTTAAAAATGTTTAGACTGTCATGATCAAGTAAGCAGATTCTTTACTATAGATGTAGAAGATATTCTTTTAGAGGTCGTCTTCTCTATGCTTTTGATTTTCGGTGACACCAGCTGCTGTCTTGCTGAGTTGAGACATCTCAGAGAATGGGCAGGATGACAAGCAACACAAATCCATATAATATTTCAGTTCTGTGTAAGGAGCTCACTTGGTTTGAAAGGTACATTTGCTTTGGCTTACAACTTCCTTTTATGTCTTTTTCCTTAAGCTGTTTCTCTTGTACTGTTTTTTCAGTTCTGAACGTTTCAAGGTTGTCTTTTTAAATCGAATGAGATAAAAGGTGCATCTCTTAAGGCCTTCCAACCCATTGTAGTTCTAAATGAACACATGGGAAAATCACTGTGAGATGTGCTGATGGTAAAAGACATACATATGCGCAAGGGGCAAGGACAGTTTTGTAATGTAGCTGCTGAATTTGGTTGTATTTCACCACCTACTGATTAAAGGAGGTATGAATCCAAATTCATTCTGCTTAGATCCGAGTCTTGTGGCATCTGCAATTTGTAACAGGAGTGATGTGGTTTGCTATCTCTGTGATGACACTTAGTCTTCCTCAGTCTCTACGGGACATTGCTGGTCAAACTGACTGCCGTGCAAGATTCTTCATAACTAAATTCTGGATACCCTAAAACAAGAAAGCTGAAATACTTCTGTATGTCCTGTGTAGGTTTGCTTTGCTGAGTAAAGCAGCAGCCACTTTTTTTTTTTTTTTTAAAGCACTGTAGTAAAGTAACCTTGTTCTGTTGACAAGTTCAGCATGAGTCTTGTGTAATATTTCTCTGTCTGCTTTGGGTCCTCCTCCTTCTCCCATCTGCCACCTTCTCACTCTAAAGAAAGGAAACTCCATTCTGTCAAAGCAAAGTGCCAATGAAAAATGAGAAAAGGCATTTAAGAGCAGGTTTTGGATGAGGCCATTCACTGAAATCAAAACAAATTTGTGTAATCACAGCTTGCTATAGCCGTGCTCTTGAATACCTAGCAAAAGGGTTAAGGCTAACATGTGGAAAGACGCAGTCTCTCCAGTGAAGGATGTTGAATTGAAAAAGGGAAGCAGGCAGGCAGAATCGTTCATTGAGGTCACAGTAGCCTTTGGTTCCCTTGGCAGGTGCTTGATGCTAGCATGTTCCTTGCAAGGAAAACAGCATACATGCCAGATAAGTAAAGGGATTTCCCAGTGAGCAAATTAAAGGACAGAAAACAAATGAGCTCTTTTTTCTTGGACTAACAAGGGTAACTAGCTGAAGTATCATAATTAAAATGGATGCTCCATTTTGGAGTATATGTTGTACCTCATATTGAAGTACCCTGCTTCAGAGGCTGCCTATTTCCATACATTGTGAACTTGTGCTTTGTGAAGCTGTCACTTTCGAACTTGTAGAATTGTTTCCCTTTGCAAGATATCTTCTGCTTCTGCCTTGATGCTGGCTTGCAAATTCAGTGTGAGCAATTAAAGCCTAAGAACAAAAAAGCTGTAATCATTACAGAGACTTTGTGCATTCATTTAAGTCTCCAGGGCTGGAGCTGAAACCTGACAATTGTGTTGAGTGGCAGTGAATATGCTGAGTTTCATCCTAATCCCTTGGAAACATATGTCCGCAGTTGACGATCTTCTCATATGCTTTTCATTGGAGAATTTTAGGGCTGTTTTTAGATCTGTAGCTAAGTAAAAGACTTTAGTCTCTGGCACGTGCAAATTCTCCATCCTCATCAGTGAACCTGTTACTTCAGGACAGCTGCACCAGAGGAGAAGGGAGATATCTAAGATACAAGTGACACAAACTAGACCGGAATGCTTATACCTTAAGAGACTTCTCATCTTAAATCAAAATTCCCCTTCTACTTTGAATACGCAGCAAGTAGATCTCAGTGACTGATGGTGCTTATTTCTGACCCGTTTTAGTCATGCTTCTACTATTCAAAATACAATAGTTAAATATAGTGAGGGAACAGAAAAGATAAAATCTATTATATTGGTCAGGATGTCCTCTCAGAAGTGGGAAGTTTTCAGCAGTCTGTGTTTTGCTGTGCTCTAAATGCCGAAGAGTGTGCAGGTCCATGTAATCCCAGCTATGAGCTGTGTTTATGTTACTATGATTTCATACTTACAGCTTATATTCATGGTTTCGGCTTGGGCTGAGCAGCCCTTGCACTGGGTTGGCTCAGCACAGCCCTGGGGCTGTCACTGCAGGCTGCAGAGCAGCAGGGAGCTTCCCCTCCACTGTCCCAGCAGCCCTGGTAGGGGTCCAGTGTTGATGGGGCGCATTGTCCGTGGCCACTCCTCAGCCATGTAAGAACTGTTCCAGCCTTTTGCTCAAATGTAATGACTTGTAAGGACAGTTAAATGTACCTGTGAGTTTGTAGGTGTACTTTAACTGAATGATGCTTTTCTGCTGGTTTAGCAGCATTTAATTCTGTATCTTTTAGGAACATGTTTATGCAAAGGCTTCCAGAGTTACCTTTCATAATCAGGTGGAGAAGGCTGGCTGTTTTCCTGTCTCTGGATGTCAGGTACCTTTCAGTGAACTTGTCTCTTCCTGAGGTATCTGTGTTCCCTTTCCTACAGTGATAGAAAGCAGTAGTAGCTCAGAAATGATTTGGAAATTTCAGTCTTTCTGTTGTGCCAAGGTTTTATGAGACCTGGCTTTCCCCAGGAGGCAGATGCGACCTTGGGTTAACCAAGGTCTGACTACATGGCTAATTAGTAATAGAGAAAGTCTGACAGATGTGTCTAACGCACCTAATCAGTGTTAGAAACTTCCCAAGTTTCTCCTTGGGAAATAGTTCCCCTGGAACATGTAGCTACATAGCAACTACTGATGTTTTATGAATGAAGCAAGTGGATTCCAGAGCGGTCTTTATACACATCTTCTATGTCTAGTTCACAAAATAAGAATATTTTGGTAAGTGTTATAGGCAATGTAATAGGATAAACATATATGAAATGTAGAGATAATTCAGCTTTCAGATAAAACACAATTTCTCATTCTTGTAGAAGGCTCCTTTTCTCTGAACTGAATGCATCTTGTGTAAACATTGGGGTTTGCCAGGCTTTTAGCAAAAGCAGAATAGAAAATTCTGCAATAATACTATTTCATTTCATATTAAATGTATCTTTCTGAAGTCATGAGGAAGCAGGGATGACATATAGTTTTGATACCTGATAAAATAGTAACGTTTGGTTAGGGTGAGAAGCAGTGTTGAAGAGTTGACAGTGCTACTTTAAATGATGGCTCTGCCAGTAGTTAACAAGTAATTCATCCTGGAGAGCCATATAGGCATATTTTGTCATGACTAGTCAGATTTTCTGTGTAAAATTAAAAGGAGAGTAATTTTCATGATCCTATTTTAGAATGTTCCTTATTCTGCCTTTATAATTTTGTCCATTTCCTCATTAGTGTTCCTTTCAGAGCCCAAACATGCCAACAGTGACACCATTATCAGCCCCGAATAAGTGAACTAACATTCTCATTTTCAGTGGTGTTTTGCTTATGACAGCTATTCTTAATTTTGCAGCTGCTGAAGACTACGGAAATATGTACAGGCTGATGAGATGGTTTTGCAACTGATGATTTGGCATCTCTGTCACGCAGCTACTTTGCAAGTATTTTTATAGGTGTTAGGAAATGTGGGGTTTCCAAAGGGTCTCTTCACTGCAGTGATGCTTCCTGGGGACAGGGTGAGCAAGTGTGAGGCAAAACAGTATCGGATAGAGGTATTCTGCTGGCTTAGTATTTGCATGCAGGTGTTCAAAAGGGAGTATGAGATGAGAGCTTTATCACCAAGTGTGGTTATGAATTGCCTGCCTCCTGCACTTGCTGTGTATTCTGAGCAGTGCTAGTTCCAGAGGCTCATCTAGCTGGAGGATATTTCTTTCCTTGAAAAGGTAGCATGACTTCTTGGCCATGAGGAGTATCTCCATGTTCAGCTCAACCCCAACTGATTTGTTTTAGAACTGACTTCCCAGCTCAAAATGGAAGATCAAATTGCAGAACCCTACAGTGATGCAGTGACCTGTGCTTGGTTTTACGTGGGCTTTGGAGCTGGTGAGCTTAGGAGTCCACCACTTGCAAAAGTGACCAAGGATGGAAGGCACAATGAGATGTAGGTGTTAAAATACCTTACAGAGTTAGGCACTCACATGTTGCTTCACTTACCTTGAGTGCTTGTTCAGGTCCCAAGAAGTTTTTCTTTTGTCTTTGTGCCAATATTTCTCTAATTTATAATTCATTGTGATAGAAGTTAAGATTTGGCAGTTAATTTAATTAGTACCTCTGAGTGGTGTGAGCTTAACAGATGGTTGGTAACAGTCCTACATTTTCTTGGATGCTGAAACACAAAAGACTCGATTTTGGTACTCCCCACAGTCAGAAGAGAGTGACATGCAGAACCCAGCCTGAATGATGAGCTGGTTGAAGTTTTTAATATTGAACTGCAGAGTTTTGGGCTGAATTATATTTTGAAAAGTCTTAGTTTCATGTTGTTTTTAATCTTTAGTACAAAATAGGTTACATGTTTCCTATTCTTCCCCCACAAAACTTTGTAAAATTGATGGATATGTGCTTCCATAGCACTATTAAATACATTTTAATATATTCAGATACTTGAAAAGCTGAACAGATTTTATCTTAATAATCCAAGCACAGGTAGGTCTTGGAAGACCTTTGAGCTTCATGAGCCATCTTTTGTTGGTGTTTTTTGTTTTGTTTTTGGTAAGCAATGGGTTTGCAAATTTATACTCAATTTTGACTTGTGGAATATGACATTAAACATGATCAAGAAGGCTTGGATACTTCTAAGCTGCTGATCATATGATTAATTAGGTAGTCAAATACTTAGGCAAATAGTCTCTTGGCTATGTGCTGCAGTTGTGGAAAAACTGCAAATGGTTGATTTTCATCTGCACTGAGCATTGTTGCTGAAGTATGATTGTTAATTGTTGTGCTGATCCTAATTTATCTGATAATCTTGTTAGTTATCTGGCATGTTACATAATCTCACATGACCTCAGAGTATTTTGATTGTATCTCTGAGAATATCTTGTTTCTATAAATGGAATTTCTAATAGAGGAAGTTGCTATACAACAGAGATATTACAGGGAGAATTCAAACAGAGAATGAAGTAATGTATCTTTCAAGCGGATTGACTGCATTAAAAGTGCTCCAACTTAACTCTTTTTTGTTCTCATAACAAATACAAAGGCAAGTAATGCTGTGGCATCTCAGAGGAGCTAAAGGTCTGATGGAACATCATGTTGAGAGGAGTCATTATTTCCGCTAGCTAAAGCTGTGAAACATGCTTATTCTCATTAAAAGTAATGAGGACTCCCTGTCTTGGTTCTGTAAGTAACTTAACATCTCTCTCTCTTGCATTCTGTTGACAGAAAAAGTTTAAGAACAACTGTTCTCATTCTAGACAGGCCTGTGCCCTGTGACCTGATGCTGCTGAAGTGAGTAATGCTTTTTGAACGAACATATATCAACAGAGTAACTGCATCTTAACCTAGTAGCCAGGAATTAATATAATTTTTATCCCATGATAAAAAATCTGGAGCATGTGGTTATTGGAGATGCATGCATGGGTGGCATGGCAGTGAGTATTCTGTGAAGTGAATGAGAAGTTGTACCTTGGCTGACAGGACTGGTGGCTTCTTGCATCTCTGAGCAGAACTGAGATATCTTTGTTAAGAGGCTGTGTACTATTTGTAGCAATAGGCCATGTGCATTTCAGCTGTTGTTATCAGATGGGGAGGATGTGAGTTTCAGGCACGAGTTGTGACCCACAGTGCCCCTGGCATCTCAGTAAATGACACCAGTGAAACCTCAGGCAGAACCAGGAGTTTTGTCCCCTGAAAACAAGGGAATTTTTCTCTGTCATAAAAGCCCAGATTGACAGATGTTAGCATTAGTAGAGACGGAAGTGAGAGACTTGGTTTAGTAACCACATAACAAGGAAGTTAGTTTAATGAGGCCACACATCATTTCATCATGGTTCTGCTCTATGTGCATCTGCAGTTCCCACCAGAATTTGCTGTTTAAGCAGAAAACTGACATGAAGTGCATCTGTTGTCTTTGATCTTTTGTGGTTTTTTTTGGGTGGTAGGGGGGCTGTGTTTGTTCATAATCGAGAAGCTATTGGAATAATGAAGGTACCAGGGGATGTAAGTCATATTACTAATGTTAGTCACATTCTGTCTATGTCAAATAACGTATCAAGGACACAGTGTATTCTGTGTATTTATTTAGCTTTATGCACAAAGTGGTCAGTAATACCTACCTCAGTTGTCTGCTTCAGGATCCTGTAGTAAGTTCTTGCTTTGTTAAATTCATGCTTTCTTCCTTCTCTCTGTTTTAAATAGCATTGTGTTTGTTAGGTCAGAATTTAGCAGCTTTCTTTGTGTTGTGATAATCGTTAGGTGCTTTGGATTGACAATTACAAATGCAGTGTCTCGGTCTTTTGAAAGAAGATGTGTTCAACCTGGAACATTCTGACTTACTGCCTCTTGTCTCATGCCTTCCTAGACTTGTCATAATGAAAGGACTTAATGAGAGAGACTTGGCTGTTGTTCCTGCTGTGTTTTTCTGTGACTTTTTTTGGTGTTTTTTTGTTGTTGTTTTTGTTTTTGGTCAACAGATACCATTAGGGCTGCTATTCCATTGCTGATTTAAAAAAAAAAAAAAAAAGTGAATACCTTTGAATACATATTTTGCAAAATAGGCTACTGGATAACATATTGCAAACATGAACAAAAGGGAAGCTGCACCAAACATTTATGTTTGTATTCAAATTGCAGTATAAATAATTGGATTTGGGCTTAAACTGTATTTCAGAGAAACATACTTCACTTAACATGGAAAATGGTTTGTTTCTTTCTGTCAAAATGAGAAGACTGGCTGCATCTTTGGCAGTGAATAAGTCAACCTACTTAGTGTTTTGTGTGTAGGCAGCATGCAGTTCCATGAGATTGCAGTGGGCAATGAAGCAGCAGAATTCAATTTGCAGCAGTGACCTAAGAGGGACTATTTTTAGTAATAAAATAGGTCAGGGGATGTAGCAGTGCAAACTGATAAATGAACAGTTTCCCCTTCACTTTTGGGGCTTTTTTGCTCCAGACTAGCAGCTCTGTGATGAGGGGAAAATGCGATTTGATGCTGTCACATGATCAGTGTTAGAATTCTTCTGTTGTGAAGCAGTCTCAGGAAAAGCTCCTCATTTTATTTTAGTGGTAAAATATTAGAAGTACTTTGCTTAGGGATTCGTGGAATGCAAAACAGGCTAGAGAGCTGGGTGGTCTGAACCCATTCCTTAGAATTGCTCTTAGTACTGTTGGAAACAGTGTGTTGTCGTGTTGGCCCTGTGACAAGCAGTTTTTGCTTTTCTCTACTAGCTCTTCTTATGTTTTTTTTAAAATTTGCTTCCAGTACCACTTAGCATGAGTTACAGAGTCCTCCTGCAGTGTCAGAGATGAGGAACTGCTTTATTCCATACCTTTGAGTCTTTGGGTAATTTCAAAGAATTGTGCAAAGGATCTGATTGCCCAGAAGTTCTTGTGTAACAGAGCAATATGAGTCTACAGTATAATGAATTGCATTTCCATACTCATTTTTTTCTGAAATTGCATTTCAGTGCAGATGAAAGCACTTTCTGATAGTTTATATGCACTGACATAAACTATTTCATTAGTAATTAGTGGCATGGAAGAGTCCCTGGAAGCTCTAGTCATGGAGCAGAGCATGTTGGTTCCATATAAACAGCAGAAATACCAGAGTTAGGCTTGATCCTAAAGATTTATTTTTTCCTGGGAAAAAAAGTAAAAATAAAAATGAGATCTCCAGTGCTTCCTGCAGCTCATTCACTATCAGGGTGTCACTTCACATAACAAAGTACAGTTCCAGGATGCTCTGGTTGTTGCTGGAGCTGTCTCCAGGAATCAGTAAGCCCTGTTGAGTTGTGCTGGGCTGCCCAACTCTCTTGCTTCAGAACTGAGCAGATACCTCTCCAGAGGCTGCTTAACGCTGTGTGAATGTACAGGCCTGCACTGGTTCCCATGTACCTATTCCTGCCTTACACTGTGTCCTGAAGCACTGGTGTGGCTGTATGATTTGGGGAGGCATACCCTTAAATTTTTTCTTACCTTCATCTCCCATCCTTGCAAAATGTGTTTAATATTCAGATCTGTCTGGTGAGGGCTGTGAAGATGTACTGTTTAGCAGTGTTCTGATAGTGCTTAAAATTTCATGGATAATATCACTTTGATAAGGAAACTATATTAGTGTTGATCACTGGCAGAAAAATTTTAAGCCTGTCTGACCTTGGTATCTTTTTTTTTTTTTAGTTCACAAGTTCTGTATTATCTTCTAGTATTAAAAAAGTGATTTAACAGCTTAATAATATGTGTATCTACTTGCTGTATTTTCCTACAGTCAAGATCTGTTTTTGTATTGCAAATAAACACTGCATGCCTCAGCTATCAAGTGACATGGCTTTTCAGTGGTTCTTTGGGATTCGTTTCAAAAGTACAAATTCCGGTGGGATCAAAACAGTGGAGATACTCTCAGGAACACTAAAAATTGGAGGAGACTTTTAGTCACATTCCATAATTAGTGTCATGTGATGTGCTTCTAAGGGAGATCTTTTGCTATCCTGCATCTTCCTTTGATCTAAAAGGGACGGCAATTCTTTTTTCTTGTTAACCTTGTTTTGCAAAAGAAAACTCAACAGTAACGTTGCATATTAGCTCAGTTCTTTTGTCTTTCTCCCCATCCAACTTGTTGTGGGTTTCATGGCACCTCACCATCTCTGTATTTGGGGGATATGGAGTCTAAAGGGCACTGTCTGACAATACAGCAGCGGGAGGTCTGGTGGAGAAGTCAGCCCTTTCATGATAGCACTCAGTGTATCTTCAGATTGAGTCTAATTCCAGTCTCTTTCTTTCCAGATAAGTGTAAGTAGAGTTTAAATTTTGGATCATCTGGCCACAGCATGGTCTTGCTGTGCCCAATATCAAGTGGGCAGCCTTTGTGGTCTGGCTAACCGCTCCTCAGCAGTGCTGGGGAGGAAATAAGTTGGCAAAGCTCATGGTCTGAGGTAAAGACAGGGAGACTGTTTACCAGGAGCCTGGTAAGATTTGGTCTGTGCCCTGTGAGCTGGAACGGGCTGGGGCAGCCTCCCTGCTGCCCTACTGACAGCACCAGGTGCTGAGCTGGCATGTAAGTCCAAAGAAGTACCAGAGCTGGTGTCTGAAGCAGCTGTGCAGCGAGGTGGATCACTACAGTGGTAGCCTCCTTCATGGTTCATCCCTTTTCGCCTATGGTACGTGGTCTTCTCTGGGGGGCTAAGGGGAGTGATCTGATGCTTTTCATCAATATTATCCCATGTACATCGGTAGTAAAATTGTAGTCTGACCTTTCCAAGCTAAGGTTTCTGTTGGAAGAGGATGCTGTGGGCCCATGGTGTGGGGTAATGTTCTGTACATTGCTGGGAGTGTGAGAAGACCTGCAAAATTAATATGCTAGCAGGAAAATACAAAATGCATCCCTGTTCTTCCTTCAGGCTCGGATGCTTCTCAGGGTGTTTCTGTTGTTGCCTGTCATTCTGAGGTGTATTGCCTAAAGGAGGCAACTTGTTTGTGAAGGCAGACAAGCAGCAATGTGTGGCTACAAGAGTAGCCAACTGTGTCCTCCATACCAAACCACAGTGTCCTGAGGCGATCCTTGTAACTGATGCTTTTGCTGTGCCTAAGCTGGGAAATTCTGTGATGAACTCTGAGGCAAGTGTGGGTGGATTTGCTGATAGTAAGTTATTCAGAAAACAGTTGCATATTGCATAACTTAGTGTTTTCGGAGCAGGCTGGTTGCAGTGGGGTGACCACTGTTAGGGTCAGAAAACCTACAGGGCAAACCCTAGTGCAGCAGCAAGTGCGTTGGCATGCTCAACGCAAGCAGTCACTGTTCAGGGATCTGTTCTATGTTTTATCTCAGTTAGTGAGTTCTCAGGGCTTTGTCCAGCATATGTGAAGCTGCTCTGTTGATATTTGAAGTGTATACATAACTTCTGGTTTTCTTTGCTGGTTCTGTTGATTCACACTCTATTTTAAGACAACCGAAAAAAGTTATTTCAAATTCTGTAAGTTTGTTTTCAGTGCAAGATCCATGTCAATAATACCACAGGGAAGATTTTAAAAGAAGCACTAAGGTGCTGTGTTTGCATTGAGGCCTGTTTTTTCTCCCTTGATGTTTGGATTTGCACACCTCAGAGTGTACGTGCTCCACGTGATTTTAAGCTAAGGTACAGATGTGTTCCCTTTCTAGATGTAGTTCACAGGCTTCTTGGGGCAGACAACATGCCTTTTATTTTCTCCTGTATTAGTACAGGGCTGTATGTGGCAAGATCTTGGTTCACATTTGAATTTGTAGATGCTGACATGACAGTGATAAATGTGGGTAAGTGTGGACTTGCAACTTGATTGCAGCAGTGTCAGCACAGGTGGAAGCTAAGCTTTGCAAGTTTGGCCAAGAAATGGTATATCAATTATGAATGAGAGCACACGTGTTTTGTTACAGACAGGGAGAGTTTTGGCTATTGTTGAAATTATTTGGGAGGAAGAAAATTGGTTTTATTCCCAGGTTTAGAGGTGACTTGAAAGGATTTATGTCAGATTAAAGATCTTGCTGTGCAGAGACTTTGATTAATAGGTTCACTCAGAAATCATAACGGCAATAATTGTAATTGGAAGCAGGTTTTTGATTAAGAGTCACCTTGTAGGGTCTCTCCTGACTGCTGTCCTTGAGAAAGCGAAAACCTGGAAGAGGAATTTGGGACTTTCCATTACCAAGCTGGCACTAGAAATTGGCAGTAGCTAGACCCTGCTGTTAGAAAAGGCCTGGAGAATCAGCACAGCACTTTGTGCTCAGTTGGTGCTGGTTTAAGTCACAGGTGCGTAGAAGTTGCATCCAAAGGGGAAAAAGCTTTTTTTTTTAATTAAAAAAAAAAAAAGAAACCCTTAAGATTTCAGCATGAAGAAGTGTGATGACAATGAGGTGGCCAGGGAGCGTTGGACAGCTTTGTCCTTCAGTGACACTTCTGAAGCTTTATGTTATGGATTTTGCCTTTTCCATCTAAAATTGATATTGTGTTTCTGGGAAGAGTGCACAGAGCTCCTCTGCAAAGTTTGACAGAGAAAGTGTCCTTTTTTTTTTTGTGAAAACTAGATGAGGGAACTACTGGAATACAGAAGAGATGAGCTATGGGGCATTTACAGTGGAAAGGAAAAAGACATCTGATTGTTCTTTGGCCTTTAGTCAAGCAGCTGTTTCTTAATATTCTCTTGCTCAGAGCTTTGTCAGAGTTACTGTTCCTTTTAATGCCCACTGTTGAGTGTAATACTGAATAGTAAGTGAAAACTTTCAAAATGTCTTTGACAAATTTTGAAGATGGCATCTATAACCCAAGGGCCCCTCCTGTCCCAGGTGGAAAGGGAACGTGAGAGCTTCAGGCAATGATGGCTTTCTGAATGCCTGATCTGTTTGTACCAAGTTTCTACCCACAAAGGGAAGAGTTGAGATCCTTTCTGGAAATCTGAAGTTAATGGTGCAGTAATAACTTGCTGACTTACTGAATATTCACAGTCTTTTTTTGACCCAGAAAATAAATCCGATATTAATTTCCTTCAGAATTAGAAACCTGGAAAGAACAATATGTTCTTAAGCAGTATCACTGAATGACATTTAAATTTTAAATAACTTTATACTGTAAGTGGTTAAGAATTGCAGAAATAACCAATTGGTAATACAGGCCTTGAGCAAAGTACAATATAAGAAGCACTGAAAACTGTTTCTCTGCATGATTAAGAGAGTCCGGTTTGCTGTTTTGATTTAGTGACTGGCTGAATGAATTCATTAATTGTGTATAACTGCTTTTACTTCTGGGTGGTCATTTTTTATTACAGATTTCATTACTGGATGAGCTTTTCCTGGGGATGTTCTTATCATCCAAAGTTAAATGCATGAAAACGTTACGGAGGCTCAGCACTCCCTTTTTACATTGCTATTTTTCATAGTGTGGTTTTTACAAACTGCAGAAAAATTCACTTAGATTGCAAAAACCTAAGTTTTATCTAGCTGTGGTCATTATTTGGACTAAAAAAAAAAATACTGAAAGACTTGCCATGTTCCTTGATACATTTTTTTCTAAATAGTGGTATGGGACTGGAAGACTTTTTTACCTGGATGGTGAAAGATGAGGCAGAGACTTATTTTTGAAACACTCTGCAAATACGTAAAACATTTGACATTCAAGTGCTTCTGTGTCTGCATTTGTAGAATGAGAGGTCATGATATCCAGATCAATGTGAGTAAGTATATAAATATAGCATTTGCAAGAAATTAAACGGCGTAGGAGAGATCCTGGATGTCTTGGCTTGTTGTTGGAACACTGTTTTTTATAGGAAAGACTCATTTCCTGGACAGATTGCAAACAGTATGGTCTGCAAATGCCTCTCTTCGAGGATCTCTATCAGAGCTGTGTGGAGTAGAAACACTTATTAAAGGTGCTGTTGTGTGGGTATGATCATCCCCTGGGGGCTGCAGGGCAGAAGTGCTGTGACCTGGCTGCTCCTTCTGGCCAGAGGGCAGCAGTCCCTGGAAGGCCACTATGTCTGTGAGAACACCGGTGTAGAAACTAGTGTTAGGAATCTACTGCTTTCTGAGGGATGGTCCTGAAAGTAGGAAGAAAAGAGAGTGTTGAGAAATTCTCAGGTTTCCTTTTTTTTTTCTTCCTAGCCCACGTCTTCAGGTCATGTGTCTGCAAGTAGAACAAAGAGCTGTAAAAGACTGCAAGATGAGGACAATGTCATCCCTTCTCTCCCCCTCAGTTTTGGCTTATGCTGACCCCTGTTTTGCACTTGTATAGCAGATGGGGTGGGTGAATCCCCAAGTCAGCTTTGTGGCAGTGGAGGCTACTGTGATGTTTTGATAAATCAGTTCTTGCCTGTGGGCTCTGACACTTCTAATATTACTTTGTTTTCTGTGAGAACAAGCTTTGCCTGTGTGATACCAAAAAAGAAAAAGAAAAAAGGGAGTTTTGTGAGAAAAGAAACATATGGACAAGATAGGCAGGGGCCTGGATAGGAAGCATTGGTCCTGCTTGCAGCAGTGAGAGGCAAGCACTGCTTCCATTTCGTGTCAGCCAGTGGTAGCTCCTAATCCCTTGTGTGCGATTTGCTTTTTCTCTGCTTTCACCTCACAGAAACGTATCTGCAATGTCAAACTCTTATTTACATCTTATTTACAGGATTCCAAAACTGGAATAATGGTCTGTGCTCCATGGTCTATTGCTCTGTGGATACAGAATGCAGAGAACTGTCTGGTGAAATACAATTATACCATGTACATGTGGGTCTGTGGATAGTTTATTAAGCAGATGAAGGAGTAAACCACATAGCAGTAGATTTAAGATTTCTATATTACTTTGTTTCAAGTCTTCATTTTGATCATTTGTATTATTTATAAACTGTATTTCAGGATGATTAAATAAGCTTTATCTTGGTAATCATATACTTTGAGTGCGAAATGTAGCAAAGACATAAAGGATGAAACTGATCTGAATGTAGCTGATAAATAAAGGGACGGTACCATCCTATTTTTATCCAGAGTTTAATCCCACTCCACAGTTAGGTAAGTGACCTTCGCTCCATAATTTAAGAGGCAAACTAATTTTGACAGAGGTGGGAATGAATCTCTCTGGCGTAGGACTCATCAGAGTGAGTCTGAGTCAAAAGCAGTGTCGCCCTCTTGGCAAATAGGCTTAACAAGAAAACTTAGCTGAATGGATAAGCCTTGACAGTCAAGGAATTTGGTCTGTTCTGGGTGATGAAGGCTGAGAATGGAAAGCTACTTCTGGGGGACATATTTAACATGCATGGCAGAGTGTGTCTATACATGTAATTTAAATCAGATGTACGTGTGCATATCCTTTAAAAAGGGTTCAGGTCTTCTTTTTTTTTTTTTTCTTTTTTTTTTCCTGGTCTTTCTGTGGCTGTGGCTTCATTTTAGCTAAATACCCTTCAGTACCTATAGAATACTCTTGCACTTCTCTGTCTGGCCTGAGATTTTTTTTTCCTTGCAAGATGTGAGGTCCCTGTTGCCTCCTGATACCTCTGGGTTAGTGCTGCAGTGCTGCACCAAGGGGCAGATGTCCTTGCTGCACTCCAGCTGCTTCCTCCTTTACCCAGGCCTCTGGCTGCTCGTTTGCTGATAAGTGCTTTTATGGCTGGTTTAGGCTAGTAGGAGAAAATGGCTTTCAGTCCTGGGAAGACAGAATATGAGAAAGTTAGACACATTCATCATTTTCTGCAGCTCAGACTTGATATGACCTCACTTACCCTCAGCAAGGAAAAGCCCCATTTCATGCCTGTTATTTCCCACTCTCATCCTAATAACTGTCTCCACTCCCTGCAGGATATAAGCCACCTTCTTCAGAACTCAAGAACACAGATTTTTATCTCAGTTCTAGGCAGTATATTTGCACAGTGAGGCATGTGTATTCATTAGGGACATCTCCAAAGCCCAAACATCCTTAGGGATATCAGATCCTGCAGCCAGAATCTGGTGAGTCAGCACTAAAGGTAGCAGAAGTTTTGTTATTTTCTTTTCTATGCTGAATCTGCAGTGTGTCACTACATACATTTCTCTACTGTTGGGTGGGTTTTGATGTCAGGTTTTATTTTCCTTCTAATATTTATTCAGTTTGGAACTGTGTCATGGTTTCTATAATTTTAGGCTGCTTCTGATGGTTTTTTCTTTAACTCACCATAATCGGGGAACTGCAGAAATGGTAGAGATTCAGGCCTGGCAAAACATCTTGCTTCCAGGGTGTGCAGTGACATCAGGAGAGCTGCACCCCCTCAAAGTCAGTGTACTGTGAGGAGAGAGATGATATGGAAAAATGGGACAGATTCTCTTCACAGCTGCCAAAATCAGTGGCAGAACGGAACTTTCAAAAGTATCTGCCATATAAGGAATGGTTTTGGAGCTCTTTTGGATTGTTTCTGGCTAACTTATCACCTAATCCTGTGTGAGAAAAGGAGAGAGACTGGGCTCAACTTCAATTCCTGTGCAGCAAGGAGTAATTTAATGACAGTTTGCTTTGTGTCTGTGGGAGGTAAGCCAGATTTATCATGTTACCTTTTTTTAAATTGAGGTTTCTTCTGTGTTTCTCTCTTCTTACACTCCAGTACCCTTTATTTAAATAGAACAAACAAACAAAAAAGCAACCTTCCCTTCATGTTGCAAACGAGGCGTTCTAAAAAGGAGATCTCATATTTCTATTCCTTCTGTTCCTTTGTTGCAATGCTGTATTTTTTCACATAGGAAGAAGAACAGAGAGGTCACCCATTGTGTGGTCTTGCAGACTTTGTGATTTACTGGATTTCTCTCTGGGAAAACTGCTGATGATAGGGTCTGTTCCATCCACAGGCAGGTAGGAAGGCAAAGCCCACATGCTAACTGCTCCAGGGGGACTGGGTTACAGCCAGGACTGCTTCGTGGTATGGCCAGGATGGTGACTACCTGCAAGACAAGATCAGAAACAGTGCTTAGACTGTGTTCCTTAAGCTCTAGATAGAGCTTGCGTTATCTCAGGAGCTTATGCACAGGGACAGGAGGATCAGAGAGATGAGGAAATGGGAGGAGTTGAGACCATTGCCTAAAATTACCTTAAA